AGAGGTAACCATTATACAGATTTTTTTTTTTTTTTGGTGGCAATCATTGTCTTCCATCTTCTTTATAATTTTAACATTTATATGTATATCCCTAAGCAATCCACTTAGTTTTGCAAGCTTTTGAACTTTATATAAATGGAATCATTCTATATGCATTCTGAGTCTTGCTTCTCTCACTGGACATTATATTTCTAAGATTAACCTACATGGATGTATGCATTTTTGTTTAACAAACACTCACCTAGAATTTATTACATGGCAGTCACTCTCCTAATCATGTCACAAATATTAACTCATTTAATCTTTCTAACAACCCTATCAGGCAGACACTATCCTCTACCCCAATGTACAGGTAAGGAAACGGATGGGCAGTGAGGTTAAGAAACCTGCCCAAGGTCACAAAGCAAGTGGGAGACCCAGATTTTGAACCCAGGCAGAACCCTTGCTCTTAAACACACCTCACACGCCCTCCTTGTGGGGTGTTATTGACTTTTTTTTTCCACAGCCAAACAGGATCTCAATGGTTAAGTACAGCCAAATGAGTTAACGGAATACAATGCTGATGAGCATTTGGGTTGCTTCTGGGTTTTGCTCTTATGAGCAAATGTTTCTTTGAACATTCTTGTCAGTGTTTCTTTTCTTAAAATTTATTGTTAATTGGAGGATAAGCATTCTACAATGTTGAGTTGGCTTCCGCCACGCCATGGCTTCTGCCCTTCCATCACCACCAGCCCCATCCTATCCCTCCAGGTTGTCAGAGAAGCAGGCTGAGCTCCCGAGTTACACTGCAACTTCCCATTAGCTAGCTAATTTACATATAGTAATACAGATATTTCAATGCCACCTTCTCAATTTGCCCCGCACTCTGCTTCTCGCCACTGTGTCCACACGTCTGTTCCCTACATCTGAGTCTCTATTCCTGCCCTGCCATTAGGCTCATCAGTACCATTTCTCTAGATTCCCTGTATATGCATTAATATACGATATTTGTTTTTCTCTTTCTGACTTACTTCCCTCTGAATAACAACTCTACACTCATCCACCTCAGTTCAACTAACTGAAACCCGTTCCTTTCTACGGCTGAGTAATATCCCACTGCAGGTTCCTCAGATGGCTCAGTGGTGAAGACCCCACCTGCTAAGCGGGGGACAAAGGTTCGATCTGGGTAGGGAAGATCCCTGGAGAAGGAAATGGCAACTCACTCCAGTGTTCTTGCCTGGGAAATGCCTGGACAGACAAGCCTGGCGGGCGAGAGTCCACGGGGTCGCCAAGAGTCAGACGTGACTTGCTGACTAACCAGCAACAACAAATATCCCATTGTACACAGGTACCGCAACTTCCTTATCCATCCTGAAGCACATGAGTGAGACTTCTTCCAAAATGTGTATCAGGACTGCTTGATTGTTAAGTCAGTAACAGGTTGAACTTGGTTCAGTAATAAACTGTTCTTTAACGTCATTGCATCAAGTCATGCTCCTACTGCGGCTGCTGCTGCTAAGTCGCTTCAGTCGTGTCCGACTCTGTGCGACCCCACAGATGGCAGCCCACCAGGCTCCCCCGTCCCTGGGATTCTTCAGGCAGGAACACTGGAGTGGGCTGCCATTTCCTTCTCCAAATACTCCTACTAACTATCTACAAGACCTTCCAAGCACGCACATCCTCACCAACACGTGGTCATGTCAGCTATGTGCACATCTGCCGATCCAGAGAGAGTATATGGCGTGTTGCTGTGATTTCACTCAGCACAGATTATTCAGCGAGCCACTTGGGCCTCTTTGGTGAAGTGCTTGTGCAAGTGTACGAGTGTCCAGTATCATTTTCCTACTGGGCTGTCTGGCTTCTCCGTACCAATTCGTGTGTTCTTTACACACGCTGGAACAGTACCACAGGTGTCCCACAGACATCACCAACCACGCTGGGCGTGTTTTCTTACTCCTCATGTTTTAATGAACTGAAGTTCTAGTCACATTTTTTCAAACAATTAAAGTGAAGGCCTCCTCACACATTTTAAACTTTCTGTACTATTACAGAAGAATTTTCTGGGTCTGCACTTGAGAGTCCTTCATATCCCTTCATTAATTTTTTCTTAAGAAGCTCTTACTTGGGAATGGTCAGGAAATGTATACTGACAATGACTGACATGGAATGATAAAGCTGATGAACCTGATATCTATAAGATCTCGAAGGATGTCAATCTAGGTAATTAGGACAATTTCAGCAAATCCCACAATCATTTTAAGAACATAAACAGATTCAACTCCTCCTGTTAAGGCTGTCCTGGTGCTCAATCTTTGCCAGCTCTCTTTTCTTCCAACTCCGACCCCACTTACCTCAACTATTCATCCTGGCCCTTGATCACTTCCTGCTGTGTGCACTGAACTTCAAATGCTTCATGCTTATCTATGTCATCTCCAGAAATACTAACTTCCCTACTGTCTGGGACCATGCTTTCTACTGGGTCCGTATTCCACACACCATAACCTGGGCTTAACAGAGTTCCCTGCAAAAAGCAAGCACCTTGACAAGTAATTCTCTATTTGCACAGTAAGTAAATTTATGACAAATTAAGAGAACTTCAGAACCAACAGATATAACACAAACATTATAAGACTGTACAAAATAAAAACATAAGTTAGCTAGAGAGATATCTGACAAAAGTTGAGCGGGAAGAAAACACTGATATATCTCTGAAATGGTAGCCTGGGAACAGACTGTAAGGAGCTTTAAAGGCTCTTCTGAGGACTCTGAGTGTTTTCTATGGACAGTGAGAAGCCACACGTGATTCTCAAGGGACAGTCAGTAAGTTCATTCATTCAACAAATACTTGCTTAATGAGCAGCCCTGTAGTGTCACCTTTCCAGGCCCCTGGACTTACACAGTGACCAAAGGAGGCAAAGACCCGGGAGTCTGGAGCTGATTTCACAGTGAGGGAGACAGATGGACAAGCAACCTCATATACAGGAGGTCAGAGGGTGAGAAGAGCCTCAGAGAAAAGGAAGGAGAAGAGTGGGTGCCTGGAAAAGAGGGTGGTCCCCCCACTCCACAGGGTCGGGGAAGGCCTCTCTGATCGGGCAAGAGACAGCTCAAGGTCGCAGAGGGAGCCTGGGTATCCTCGGGATCTCATGCCAGTTTCCCCGGACCTACCAGGCCCTGTGGGCATTTTAACAGCCAGAGGCAAGCCGATGATCCCCGTCCTCTTTCACACCCTGAGTTCTGAGCCTCCTCCTCCCCTGAGTACTCCCCATCCGGAGGCATCTCTCACCCCATCGGGATTCTCCAACTCAAGGCTGGTGGAAGAATCTTCCCAACACCTTGTTCTCTTTGCCTGCTTTCCCCATGCTCAGGCAGGCGTACCTCCTCCTAATCACTTCGCCAGCAAAGATGCATCTAGTCAAAGCTATGGTTTTTCCAGTAGCCATATATGGATGTGACAGTTGGACCATTAAACAAGGCTGAGCGCTTAAGAATTGAAGCTTTCTAACTGTGGTGTTGGAGAAGACTCTTGAAGAGCCCCTTGGACTGCAAGGAGATCAAACCAGTCAATCCTAAAGGAAATCAACCCTGAATATTCACTGGAAGGACTGATGCTGAAGCTGAAGCTCCGGTACTTTGGCCACCTGATGTGAAGAGCTGACTCCCTGAAAAAGACCCTGATGTTGGGAAAGATTGAGGGCAGGAGAAGGGGTGACAGAGGATGAGGTGGTTGGATGGCATCACCAACTCAATGGACACGAGTCTGAGCAAACTCCGGGAGACAGTGAAGCAGAGGGAAGCCTGGCATGCTGCAGTCCATGGCGATCACAAAGTGTCGGACATCACTTAGGGACTGAACAACAAGCTACTCCCTGGATTCTGAGGTCAGAGCCCCCCCTGGGTTTCTTCCTGGGCCTCAGAATCCAGCCTCCTTCCCAGAATGTATTCTTAGACACAGGTGGCAAGCCAGTGCACGCTCCCCTTCCAATTCCCTTCCTGTCTGAATGACCCCTCCCAGAAACCCAGCTCTGGGAAGAGAGAGCAACAGGAGCACCCAGAGCCACTATGGGGCCTCCATAAGCAAGAGCCCAGGGTCAGGGAGGGGGTTGTGTTGGTGCACATGTGTCCACGTATGTATGCAGAGTGCATGCATATGTGCACACACTCCTGGGTCTGTCTAGGAGTGATGTAAGAAAGGGTGTGTGCATGCAGGCAGGAGCAGAAAGAATCTACGAGAACAAACGAGACGAGGTGAGTGTTCACATAAAGAAAGAAATGTAAAGACTTGGCAAGAGGAAGGAAGAACAAGAGGCAAAGAAAGGAAATGCTACCGAGGAGCAAGACACCAGGGTAAAGAGAGTAAAGGAAGGCATAAGCATTAAAAATAAAAAACGCGGAGAAGATGGCAAGGAGAAAAAGAGCCATCTAGAACGAACTGTGAGAGAGGCAAGACTGACACAAAATTTCAGCTAGCAACATTCTCATTTTGCACTTCTCTTTAAAGCATTTCTTATTTCCCAGATCAAGGCTAACATAGCAGGTAAGGCGCAAAGGCCACTGGCTCTAGTAGCTAGGAAACTAGTGAGGCAACGTTTCTAAAGATGAAGTGTTCAGAAAGAAAAAAAATCTGCATAAAGGTAAATGTAGGTGCTGATTTCACAGTCTAGAAATTCAGTTGCTTTCACTACAGAATGCAAAAAGGAAAGGTCCTCGGGTAAGACCTCTGTGGTCTCACCGAGCTAAGATAGCGATCTCTGATGGTCTGGCCAAACTGCAGGCAAAACAAACCAAAGCTGAAGAGCAGAAGAAAGCTCCCACACACAGATGCAAGCAGAGAGGCTGCAACTGACACATACACACCTAAACTCCCTGTGACGCCTGGGGTCTGCGGGTCTCAGCCCTGCAGCCCTGGAAATGGGGCAGCACCGTCCTTCCTGTCAGAGCTGCCCCTCCTCACTCTGACTCGCATTTTCTGTTACCCTTCCTCTTGGGATCCTCTGACAATGATTCACTCTGCAATCAGCTCGTCAGCGGTCCCACCACCCTCCACAATAGACGCTGTGGAGAAGGCTGGTGGCTTGGTGGACCAGAGTCCGGACCGGTTTTTTCCTTTCTCTGTTCAGGGAGGATTTGCTTTTCAGCCACATTTCCCTCAAAACACAGCCCCGCCAGGAGATGCTTACTGCACAGATTTCTAAACGATGAAATGATCTGACTTTGGCGACTTGGTCATAACGAAACTAAAAACAGTAAGATGAAAAAACAATAGTGTGATCATCACACCTACAAAAAACAACTTTAAACTTGGGTGAAATCAAGAGATCAGAAAAAAAAAGCTCAAACTAATATTTTCCAACCTTTCACTAACAGCTAGGGCTAAAACCACATGTTTTGAAGGTCTTGCACTGTGTTATTATTAGAAGTCACAATTCTATTGATACTGATGAGTCATTTGTATCGGCGGAAACCAAGAACTTCCATCAACATCATGTTACACACAGTCACTGTGGCTTGGCTTTTTCTTTATTACTGGTCAAAGCTGCTTCAGAATGCTTATTGAAGCTAAAAAAAAAAAAAAAAAGGAGGCAAACTCCACAAGGATGTGTAAAGCTTTCCTTTCCCTAACTGATCTCACTTTAATCATCTTTCTCAAGATAGTTCAGAATGCTCTGATCAACTGTATCTGCAAAAGGAAGTTTATTTATAAGCCTCAAAAAAAGTGACATTTTCACTTTCCGATGAAAATAAGCAGAACTGAACTCCAAAAACAAACAGCGAAACCATTTCTGAAAACACACGCCAACTTTAAAATGACCCGAGGTCAGGTTTGAGTTTTTTTTTTTTAACCTTAATAACATGCAACAGATACAAACAAAATCTGTCATTACTTAAGGACGTGAACCACATAAAACAAAGTGGGGCTGGCTGCTCAACACCTCTTGCCCACTGCCCCGGCCCAGGCACACACGCTTCACTGAGACGGGGAGAAGTGGGTCAGATCTGGGTCACACCAGGAAAACCTCAGTTAACTGTTCACGAGAGTTCCCTCTGGTGCTAGGGAGCAAAGAACAGCAGAGTCCCTTTCTCTTAACTCTCATCCCCCCCTCCCCTCTCCCTACAAAGAGCCCCAGGAAATTAAAAGGAAGTAAAAATCGGTTTTCTCTGGGGGCTTCCCAGAAATACTGTGATGCTCAAGCAGTCACTAAGGTAGAAATATGCCCAGTTTTCTACCCCGGGGAAACAAAAGCTGTGTCTAGTTGCCGGAGGGAGAAGGGAACCCAGCTCGGCCGCGACCACAGATCTGAAAATAGCCTCCCGCAGCGAATGGTCGAGGTGCTCTCCAAGGCGGCGCTGGCGCTGTGGGCCGATCGGCGTGGGGCCAGCTGAGGGCTGCGGCAGCCGCATGAGTCAGCACGCGCGGCTGGGAGGAAACTGCTGACACGCCAAAGGGCTCTCCAGACAGAAGGCGCACACGCCCACCCGGCGAACACAAAACAAGGTGCATGCAAATCGGCAAGCAGGCGCCTCCCTCCCTCCCTCACCGTTCCTGTTCCCCAAGGTCCAGCCCCGGACAGACACAGGCCAGACGCGGAGCAGAGGTGCGGCCGCTCAAAAAGCAGCAGTGACCACTAGCATCCTGAAGAGGGGCAAGAAGCCACGCGCTCTCCCTGCTGGGGTGCGGGGAACTGCTGCGCTCAGGTCTCACGGGCCGGTTCCTTCTCACCACTTTTAGTTTTAACTGGATTTAACTGCTTTTCCTCCCTTCTGACAAAAATCAAAATAGTTGCCCGATCGACCACAAAAACTGCTAACAGACGAGCACAGTTCCTGTTTTTCAGAGGGGACTTACTTTCAAACCCACAACGTCGAGATGTTCAACACAAGTGGAAATTTAAAATTTATTGTTTGATGTGGGAGCTTAAACCTGTACCCGAATTCAGATCCCACGAACGTCCTGGTGTAATCACGTCTCAGGCTGCGTCCTACACGCCTTTTCACCTTCTTTCTCTCACTGAACACCGGGCCCAGAACTCCAGAGGGAAACGGGTTATTCGGAGCTCAGAACACATCGTCCCACACAGAAACACCACCATGCTCAGGATATTCCATGAAGGTTGTCTCAAATTTAAAATTCGAGTCAGAGGTTACATTTGTTTTAAAAGAGAAAATAACACGATAACAATAGTTCCAAAGCCAATTAAAAACTAAAGAAAAGATGATTGAGTGGCTGTTTGAAACACCTAATTAGAGGCAGTCTTCTAGGTGAGACTTGCAGACTTTGTCCAGTTTCCCTCTGGTTGTCCAACATGACCTTTCGTGGCTAGTTCCACTTTAAAATGCATCACACTCTCCTATTTTGCCATAACACATCATCAGGAAACTCTTTTATCGGCTGTCAGTTTCGATTTTTTTGTTGCTGTTGTTCCAAAAAATTCACCAAGAGTTGGAACAGGAAAAAAAAAAAAAGGAAGGAGAGCTACAGAGAGGGGATACCAGAGAGAGGAGACCGGACACAGGAAAGCACAGACGCAGCCCTAAGACAGAAGAAGATGCGAATAGGGAGCGGTCCCCCCGCTAGACAGCGTCCTCCGGACAGCGGGGCCTCCTTACGCGGCTGCCCGGAGATCCGACCCCCAGAGAATCCAAGCGGAGCGCAGCGGCACGTTTCCTCGGACTGACACTAGATGGCGCCATCAACCCGACATAGCATGGTTGCTGGCGGCGTCTGCCGGGGCGGGGCAGCGTGCAGGCCGGTTCAGACTCATCCCCTCTGGGTATTCAGAAGGCAGCGCGTCTATCTGAGAGCAGCAGGGCTGGCACTTCCCTGGTAGTCAGGTGGTTACAGCTCGGAGCTCCCAACGCAGAGGGCACAGGTTCAATCCCTGGTCAGGGAACTAAGAGCCCACATGCCAAAAAAATAAAAATTATTAAAAAAGCATAAATTCATTAAACAGTCATCCCCTCCAAATGTCCACTTGTCACCACCAGTCATGCTCATGGCACGGGGCAGGTCACTTTTGAAACAGACTTAGCAACTCAATTTGTAATCAACAGAAGTGTAGGGTGGGGAGGCAGATGGGTGAAATCCATTCTTTTTTTTTCTTCTTCTTTTAAAATTCAACATTTGGAATGGGGAACACATGCAAATCCATGGCTGATTCATGTCAATGTATGGCAAAAACCACTACAATATTGTAAAGTAATTAGCCTCCAACTAATAAAAACAAATGGAAAATAAATAAATAAATAAAATTCAACATTTAAGGATAATAGAGTATTTCAGGTTCACTGCTCCTGACTAACTGACAAAAATTCTTAGTTATAGACCTAGTGGTTTTCCCCTGAACCTCCGTTTAAATGTCAAATAACACACCATCTTGCTACCCAGGTTTATGCAATCAGATCAAGTGTCTGGCAAGAGAAAGGTGATGCTTTCTGACAAACGTATTATCACATTAAAAATCATCTGCTCTTCATATTTTTAATACTACTGTGTGGTTTATACGGTCTAATCTGCCTGCCCACATTCTCTGTCTCCACGGTTGGATTTATACAGAGCCCCCTCTTTACTCAGAAAGTTCCTGCCATCACCAGGTTAGCAGTGTATGAGATTCTACTAGCCCCACTGCTAGGGTTTTTACTTCTTTCATTTTATCTCCTATTAATAAACTGATGCTTCAGAAAGAAGTAATACACTTGGTTGTTGCTGCTCAATGCCTGGGTTGGAAGATCCCCTGGGGGAGGGCATGGCAACCCACTCCAGGATTCTTGCCTGGACAATCCCATGGACAGAGGGGCCTGGTGGGCTTCAGTCCATGGGGTCGCCAGGAGTCGGACACGACTCCACACCTAAACAACAACAATGCAAGACAGTTTTCATAAAATCCTTTTCTGAGTTTGGTTTTGAAAGGCAAGGAGGGGACTGGTTAAGTGCACTGGGCAGCCTCAAGGAAGCAGAGCAGAGAGTGACGTCAGGACAGAAAGCGGACACGGGGAGAACTACCAGCAAGCCTTGCCTGGCTTCTTCCCAATGAAGTCAAGGTCGGCACCCCAACGCCCATCTTCTCAAGGAGATACACGAAAAGCAAGGGGTAACTCTAAGTCAGTCTACATTTTCCACTTGCTGAATGGGTAATAATATCTTTTATAGTTAATTTCATTTTTTTCCCACAGTTTGACTCTTCAGGGCTCATTCATTTGCATAATATGGAAGCCTGAACCTCTATAGATGTTCTACAAATCAGTGCGAGTAATTCTCACACTAAATCAGCAGCTTTAAATTAAGCTCATCATTGTTTGCATAGAAATCTTTATGCACTCATCTGCTTGATTTTTTTAATCACTTAAAACCTCCAACAGTGACACGCTAAGCATCTCCCCATTTAGCCATCTCCAAAATTTGAACTAAATACTGAAAAATAAGCACAGTACAGTCATATGCTTGATCATTTCCCAAATTGAGCTTCAAGCGTATGCTTAAATGTTCCAGCAGCTCCAAGGATAATGCCGCTTGACTAAAGATGACAACTTGGACGTCCAGCCCAGGACACAGCTGAGTCAGCATTCTAAACAGTCACCCTGCAAACCTGGGGTAATCAGGGTCACTACCAAACCAACTGCCTAGCAGAGTCCTTTAAAATCATTCAAATCTCCTGTTGAGAGTTGCAACATGCTAATCTGGCAAGATAATCTCTTCCTGAAATTGACTAGGATGGAGCAAAGGTTACCTGTTTTTATCTGTTACTAGCAGCTAATATGTCTCATTAGGAACTCTGATGGAATTGGTTCTGAATGAAATTTTTTCCTTCTCAGTAGGAAAAAAAAAAAAGAAAGCTATAAACAAATTCTTCACTTAACAAGAGGATAGGAGCATGAGTTACAGAAAAACCCTGGGAACAGAGTCATAGGATTCATGTTCTGTGTCCAGTTCTTCCTGTCTCGGCATGTTATCACTTCCATCCTCTGAATCCTCAGACGGACACTGAGAACTGAGGAATGCAATTATCAGAAAGTGAGTTAGGTGAAAGGAGAAGGACAAAGGATACATTCACTCAGGCTCACTGACTAATTATTTTTCAATTTTTTCTTTCAGATAGATGTCAATAAAATATCCAATAGAGTGAGATGGCCTATATTTCCACTTCTGAGATGTGATGGAGAGCAAAAAGGAAGAGGGGGTGCAGAACAGCAGGTGGTTAAGGGAATAGGTTCTAGCATCAGACACCTCATGTCCAAACCCAGCTCAGCCACTCATTAGCCAAGTGACATCCATGCCTCAGTCTTTTACAATCACACCTGCCTCCGGGTGGTTATATGAGTTACATAGCTAATATGAAGGACACACACTTAAGACTCCCAACACAGGTTAGCTATCATAGGAAAAAAAGAAGAGAGAGGCATTTTAGCACATAATAAATCCATTTGTTTTAAACAGACGCTGTCTGCACTCCTAAATTGTGCTAAGAACAGTCTGTATAATCATCCTGGGTCTGCAGAAGCTGGAGACCCTGCCGGTCTGGGACAGGCTGGGGCTTCTGATCAGCTGGACTCCCATTTTCACCAAAGCCCCTCGCCCCGGGGCCCACGCATATTAGACAACTGGGAGGGAATGCCTGCAGGTTCTAATCACTCAAATATTGTCCAAATGACCCTCAACATGCCCAAAACAAGAATGCTAACTTGCATTTTTTTTTCCGGTAGGGAAGCAATATTCTTGGCAATTAATTCAGTTTTTATCAGGTTCTAAAGACACAGGTAAAAAAATCAATTCTGGACTCTGTATACAGGAACCATTATTGGCCAAAATGACTCAACAGGTTATACCATGGTTTATGCAATATTCCAAAGGGCCACAGATAGGAGTGAATTAATAGACTTGGGAGACTTCTTGTTGTTCAGTTGGTCAGTCATGTCCAACCCTTTGCGACCCCATGCACTGCAGCACACCAGGCTTCCCTGTCCTTTACTGTCTCCCGGAGCCTACTCAAGCTCATGTCCATCGAGTCGGTGATGCCATCCAACCATCTCATCCTCTGTCGTCCCCTTCTCCTCCTGCCCTCAATCTTTCCCAGCATCAGGGTCTTTTCACACGAGTCGGCTCTTCGCATGAGGTGGCCAAAGTACTGGAGTTTCAGCTTCAGCATCAGTCCTTCCAATGAACATCCAGGGCTGATCTCCTTTAGGAATGACTGGTTGGATCTCCTTGCAGTCCAAGGGACTCTCAAGAATCTTCTTCAACACTACAGTTCAAAAGCATGTTCTTCAGTGCTCAGCCTTCTTTACAGTCCAGGGAGACTAGGGGGAAACCTAGCTGGTTTCAGACAGGTTCAGATGGCAGCTGACTCCGTAATTTCTTGGGCTGGGCTGCCCCAACCTCCCATCCGGATCACACCCTCTCCAGTATA